CCAACTGAGAGATTCTGTGATTCTGTGATTTGGCTGTGTAGCATTTCTCAGTGGTATCTGTTCTACTCATTGCAGGAGGAGCTGTTAAAGGCCATTGCCAGTGTCGTCTCTGCGTGCAAGTAAGTGTCCCAAAAGATGTGGTACCCTCATGATCTGGGATCTCAAAAAGGAAGTTGTTGCACAGTATTGTTGCCTGTCAGGGACTAAGGAGACTTTAGAAAGTTGTGAACACCATCCATCAGTCTGTGAGGAGTCTCTTCACTCTACTTGTCAGTGTGGGTCACTAGTTATAGCTGGGAGGGACAAGTGCTGCTTCAAAGGGAACTGCAGAGGTAAATGGGGGATTTAGGGCCAGGAAGAAGATGTTGAGAGGCCAGAATTGCTAAGAAGAAAGAAGAGACTAGGAGAAAGGATGGACATCCTAAAGGAGGAGAGAGAGGAAGAGGATGAAGAAACATAAGTGGGGGAAGTGCATTGGAAGCATATGAGGAAAGACAAGGAAGAAAAACAGGGAGAACAGAGGGTCAGAGCAAAGGAGACCTCCAGAATTTAACAGTTACAGCTGTTGGTAGGCAACCCTGTGCCTTGACAGAGGCATTGCTTCCTATATGTGAGAAGGGATTAGTGTGGGCCTGCTAGATTCTGTATGCCTTGTGTTTCAGTGCGGAGCTGCAGAAGTCGCTGCCTGGCCAGCCCACCATCGGTGATATTGTCCAAAAAAGAGTGTCGGAAAGAGAACCTGAAGTATAAGATGGTGGCGCTGCGCTGTGCGGCCGGAGTGCTGCAGGCAACAAAGGAAGACCGGTTCCAGGAGCTGGCAGATATCGTCTTTCCTATGATAAAGAAGGTGACAGTTCAACTTCTTGAGTTTGTCCTTTCAAAACAAAACACCCAAGTGGTAGCAGTCCAGCTGATGCTTACATACACACCAGGCTTCTGCCCAGAAAGCTCCTGATGTGAGGATTACCACACACAGACAGATCTTGGTGGGGCTGAATACCAGACTGGGTGAGCCCTGGGGGAGGTTATGCCCATGCTGCCCAAATTCTGAAGTAGCCCAGCTGTTGCCTAGGCATAGTCCTTCCTGTGGTGTCTAGCACTGCTTTGATACAGCATTAAAAGTTAATTCCTTGCTGTTTTACAGGCAGCAAGAGACTCCTAGGAAGTTGTGTAGAGTGCTTCCATTTAGTATCTGCAGTGCTTCACAGCTCTGCCAGTGAGACTTGTGTAGCACAGGGAGGTGTTAAATGCAAGGCTGTGGAGCCTGCTGTGCACCAGAACTGCCAGTGGCCGAGGGGGCCTGTGCTCCAACTGTATGGAGTCACTGCCTGGGTACAAGGACTGGTGTGCACAAACAGCAAGGGAAGACTGAATTGTGCTGAAGTGTGTGGCTAGCCTGCCTTCATCCCTCTGTCGATCATACCTTCCCCTATGGCTCCACAGAACTCTCTTGAGAGCATGGGCACGGGTTTACCAAAGCATGATGAAGAGGACGAAGACATGAGGGAGAAAGAGGCGCAGATGGAGTCCCTGCTCTGTGCCTTCGAGACCCTGGGCAAAGCCTGGCCGAGGAGCCCGGAGACACAGCGTAAGTCAGCTAATGGTGTGCAGAACAAACTTTCTTGGCTCAAACTGTCTCCCCTTAAAACAAAAAGGGGGAGAAGGGAAGGATCTGGACATCATGTAGGGAGTGGGGAGGCTTTAGAGGAGATGCAGGATCTTGATGTCTGCAGCTTGCAAGTTCTTCAGTGAGAAAGCTGCCCCAAGAGCTTTCTCAGAGTTGCCCATCTTTGGGGAAATTCCTTTCCTGTTGTCTGAAGTTCACTTCACCAAACTGTTCTGAGTTTGTGGAGACATACAGGTGGCTTGCCTAATCAAAAGCAGCCTAATTCTGCTGCTCACATTTACATTTGCCTCAAAGCAGTTATGTGGCGGAGGAACTGGGTATACCTTGGGGGAAAAAAAAATTAAACCCAGGTTGCTTTTATTAACATGCCAGAATGTGTAGTGCAGCTGTTTATCTTCCAGTGCTTGTTAATGAGAATGTTGTATGTGGTGAAGGTCTTCAGGATCACTTGGTCATATGCAGTGACTTGCTTGATGTTGCTTGGAGAGGAGCAGAAGGAACACCTGGGAAGCGGAGCAGGAAGTGTTTTCTTCTGCCTTTCCCCATGGTAATACAATGACATCCTGATTTTTCTGTAGGTTGCTATCGCCAAGAGTTTTGCAAGTTAATGTCTGACCGCCTGAAACTCAGCACATGGAAAGTGCAGCTTGGAGTGCTACAAGCTATGAATGCCTACTTTCAAGGGTAATTCTTCCTGCAGTCCACTTTGATGATGATGCTTTTCTTTGTTGCTTCGGACTGTTTAATGAAACTGAGTATGACGCTGGATTCTCGGAGGAAGTCGAGCAGACTTCTGTCCCAATGATGCAGGTTTTCTGACTGTTTTTGCATTTGACAGGCTAATGCTGTTTGATGAGGAGCACTCAGACCCTGTGGCTTTGACAGAAATACTGCTGGAAACCTGTTCATCTGTCACCCATTCTTTAGGTAAATAGACTTTGCCCAGTTTGTGGTCGATGATGAATCAATCACTTGTTAATACATTCCTCCTCTGGGGGTTGGCTTGTAGAGGAAGTGCAGAATAAGCATAAGCCTAGGTGATGGCACAGGGGTTGGACTGGATGATCTTTCAAGGTCCCTTCCAACTCAGGATTCTGTGGTTACAAGAGAACACTTTGCCCTTCCTTGCACTGTGCTGATTCTGATGTTGCAGTAGCTGTTCAAGACAGTACTATGCAGGGTGCTGTGCACAATTCCTCTGGTGCAAGGCAGCTTTGAAAGGGAAGGGAAAGGCAGACAGCAGACTGCACTTCTCCAGACTACAAATCAGAAACAATAATTTTCTTCATACAGATGGATCCCACCTAATGAAGCTGTTACTGATTCAATGAGACCCAAGTTTTTTCTCCTCCACAGTTCAGACTTCTTGGATACCTATGCGTTGTAGAGACCCAAAATTTTCTCAGAGAGCCAGTGCGTGAAGCTCCAAGGCTTTGAGGCAGTTTGTGCTGTCACTGAGTAGAGTGCCCATGAGGACATAAGTGCTACCTGTGTAATGCTGACAGGCATGAGGCTGTTGATTGCTTTGGTAGTATGCCCACTTGTCCTGTGACTCTAACAGTGCACCAAGTCTCACACCTGCATGTGGCTCCTGTTTCTGGTATGGCTAAAAGCAGCACCTGCTTTAGAGCTAGCTACCAATCCAGAGACTCCTTTGGGGAAAGTTTAACTATTGTTCTTCCTGTAATGAGACATTAACAGGACTTTAGCACAGGAGACCAATAACTTTCTCTGAGAAGCTTGTGCTTGATGGCATAGAGTTTGTGTACCCTCCCTTAATGCTACTTGTTAAAATTTGGTTAATAGCCATTACAGCTCACCAAAAGAACAGTCAGTTATGCACAGAAATTGTCTGTGTCTGGAGACCAAAGTGGTGACTGCTCATTGTACAGTTAGTGTGCCTTTGGCTCTCAATGTGGTCATGGATTTTTTTGGTTTTTTAATCCCTTAGAAAACAAAAGCTACACGTCCATAAGAACAGAAGCTTTGTCTGTGATACAGCTGTTGCTCACCAAATTGCAAGGTGAGACTTTTGGCTTGCCACCTGGAAGAACCGTGTTTGGTAAGGAAGGCACCTGGCTCTGAGGCCTAGAGTTCTGGAGAAATGGCATCACCTTCTGCTTGCAGCACTGGGTGATTTCAGGGATGGGACTGCACTTGGAGGTCTGTACTTGGTAGCTTGGCAGACATGGGAAGGGCTTGAAGGAACTGTGGATAAAGGTCTAAAGTACTGCTCCTTGGGTGGGGAAAATGTCCAGCAAGGAGGGTCCCAGAGAGCTCACAGGACTGAGTGTATAGTTTTGCATTATCCGTAAGCTCCTATTTGTGGCAAAGAGGAATTTTTACCTTTTTACTGCCAGATTTAGTTCCTCATTGTTAAATTAGGATTTAAGCCTTGCAGTATTTACTTCAGAGCACTCTACTTAGATCTCAAGGTCATACATGTCTGCAGTTCTGTAGCAAGTGTTTCCTTTGAATTTCTGTTATGCACTTTGTGTTACCTTTATCCTAGCAAAAATCTCCTTGCATTACATGAAGCAGTTGTGAAGTGGGAAGTATTTGGTTGTTCAGGCCCTTTTTTCACAGGCTTAGACAATCAAGCCTAGCCTAAACAGGCATGACTCCCGGTGCAGGAGCTGGCACATGCACCCGAGTGCCCAGCTGAATTGCCTCCTCCTGGAACAACAGTACAGAGCAATTAAATGTTGAAGCAGTGACTCTTTCAGCCTGTCTAGGGGTGGAGATGGCCTTTTGGGGTTTGTTTGTTTTTTTTTTTTGCATTCTGGTATTCATATACAGTGTCTGTCTGTCGTTATCTACACAGAAACTCAGCAGTGGGAAAGCCTGACAACAGAAAGCAGAGAGCACCTCATTCGTTCCTTGGCTACGATGGCATCAGATAGCAGACCTGAGCTACAAGAGAAGGCATTTCTATTGAAGAAAACACTTGAAAATCTTGACTAAGTTGTAAAACACAAACTACAAAGTGCCATGTAAAACAAAAACAAAAAAGTGCAGTGGTCTGAAAATCAAGTGGGAAAATGAAGATTACTCTGTAGCATGCATCATTCCTGGCCAAAATAAAAAAATGCCTTAAATTCTTTTCCCTGTTAATGTTATTTTTTACTCTTTTAAGCTTATGGTTAGTTGTTTTATCAGTAAATACCTCTAACAGTCTGCCCTAAAATGTTTATAAGTGTGCAACATAAAAAATGTTGAGGGTAAGATGATTTTTTTTTCCTTTAAATCGGCAAAAGAATGTTATTCAGATCCCCTTTGACCTTCAAAGGAATTGTCGAAGAAACACCAGCACAGGAAGTGAAAAGCATATTTGATTTTTCACTTATGTCATGTGTGGAGATCTGTTACCTCGTGTCTAAACAGTAAATCTTCCAGACTCTGCAGTAGAGCTAGTGTTTGTTATCTATGAAGAATGAAATGCTTCCCCTGGTGAAGCCTATGTTAAACTCCTGTGGCTTCCCAGGGGCAGGATTTCACCTGACACCCACCTCTGCTTCTCCTGCTTGCTCCTCCCTTGCAGCTGTTGTCTGTGAGTTACGAAAGGCAGAGTACTGTTAACTTCGCTCCTTCCTCCTCTGACCTCAGCATGGATTGACCAAGACTATGCCTTCTCCAGCTAGCAACTTTGGCCTCCCAAACTTTAAATAAGAACCTTTTTTTTCTCAAAGGATGCACAAGAGAGCACTTTACTGAGCTGTGTGGGACAAAGTTGGGCCTAGTTGCTGCCCAGGTGGAACACTGCTCTTCTTAAAATTGTTTTGCATGGACACTCCTCAGCTGCAGGAAAAAAAATACGAAAACAATCTTTTCTAGATGTTTTTGAACAGTGTTCAAAGTTTGCAATGACGCGTTTTTTTTAATAGTGCTAATGTTTTATTCCTTTCCTGTTTGTTACCCTGTTGTTGCTTTGGAAACCTGTAATGATTTAGACTTGTCAATATTTGTAAGAAACTGAATCACCTGTAATTTCTCAACAGCACAAGTCATGCTGGTTTTTAGCAAATAATACTTCTTAATGTGCACTTAAGAAAGATTCTATCTGCATTAATGTGAGTAAAATTACTATATGATGATGGTGCCATGCTGCCTGTCTCCTGGATTTTGCCCTCCTCAGATAAGACAAACCTGACTATAGCAACAGACTTTTAATAGGGTAAAGTTAGCACTGCACCATAATCTGACCAGTATGTGTACAGCTTTTTGGGGATAAAAGCTTTGCTGATGGTGAAATAAAATCATTAGTGTGGGCAATATCATGTCCATGGCTTCCAGTGTAGGAAGACTTGTTTTTCTTGCAGCTCCTTTCAGATTTAACTTGTCACATAGAGGATTGCTCAGATAACGGCCCATTTCCTCCATGTCCATCTGTTCAGAATCAGGTATGCAGTACCTACTTTTCCCTCAGGTGCCATTTCCCATGCAGTGTTTTTTGGTACTGTAACAATCTTCTTGTCTGAGTTGCTCTCTACGGGAAAGGAGGAATTTCCTTTGTGCACACCTGGTAAGAAAATGTCAGCAAGAAATGGGCAGAGCTGTCCCACTCTGGCTCTCGTGTAGCAGAAACCTCAGCGAGCACTATTGCATTGTACACTAGAACTGGTCAGTGGGCAACTCCTTGGTGCTGGTAGCTGGTGCTATAACGTTTTGATTTACACCTTGTTGCAGGGAGCTGCTCTTTGTTTACGTGTAGTTTCAACTATGGAGCACAGTGTACATTTTAAAATTTTACTTTTACTGGGCAAATCACTTTGCAGTATCTTTAAAAACTTGCTTACCATGACATGTAGTGTCATGAGTGCTTTTCTTTTTTTATTAGATGAATATTACCAGTGATGTTTTGCTGTAGCAGTTCAGTGTCTGACTTGGGGTTTTTCTGTATTGGTGAGTGACAGTAATGGAAAAGCAAGAGCCTCCGTGTCTCTGGTAACTTGAGTTTTCACTGTGGACTGGAGTATTCAGAGGCAATGCATAATATGGTCAAATGACCATAAGTAGAGTAACTGTAATCGTTGTGAATGGCAACCTGCATTTCTCTATTGGGGATTTACACTAGAGGGAAGAGCATATTCTAGGAACTCTACAAACAGCTGGATTAACAACTCTGGCCAAGAGCATTAGGAAGATTAGAGATGGTGTAACACTTTCTGAATCACAAAGCAATATGTCTTTCTCGTGATTACAGAACAGGTTCAGATCTCCTCTCTAAAGCACGTGCCTATACACAAAACCTACCTGCACAAAAGTTAATTTAGTCAGAGGTTTGATTTCTACCCCCCTCGCATTTGTAAACTTGATGTGATTAAAAATAAGTAAATAGATGTGGCCTTCCTAGAGTTTTTCCTTTAAAAGTGATTGCACTATCTGAAACACACTGTACGTTGCCCAGCGCGGGCAATTCTTGTGCTGCTGCAATGCTTTGTATACCTGGAGTGCAGTGCACAGACTTGACTCTAGCACTCACGTTCTGACCTATAAGCTGTTGCTTAGATGGATGTATATTGAGAAAAGTTTTCTGATGTTGTAAGATCTCCATCAAATTCACAGCAGTCTGTACTGTCAAAGTATGTGAGTGATCTGACTGAAAGAAAATGCTCCTGCTTACCAAAAAGGTAAAATTAAATAAAAGCTGCATGACCTGTTCTTCAAAGTGACTGGTGGTGTTTTCTTATCCTGCTGTATTTTGTAGTATTCTTGTGTTTCAAAATGTGCACAAAGGGCACCTTTGTTTTCTGCTCCGTGCTCATGTGCCAGCCCCTCAGGCCATGCAACTCACCCAGTCATGTGTTACAAATAACAGCCTCCAGTTCTGAGGAGCTGTGAATTTTTTTTTTGAGCCAACAGCTTAGTCTCTTGCAACCACACAGGGTTAACGAGGTATCCATATATATACACACACATATCCTAATTTTCCATGTATATATTACCTATAGATCTCTACATGTAACACAATAAAAAGTTACACAATAAAATTTATTTAAAAAATATTCAAGAACTTAACATTTCCAAACTGTTTCACACATGGACACATCTCCAACCTGGCCTCAATTAAAAGCATTTTTCTAAATGGTATTCTAAAAGAAAGAAAAAACACCAAACAAAAAAATCAGCTATGCAGAAGAGAGTGAGCAAATACAAATTTCATGGATGTTAGCTACCAACTTGGGTAAAGCACCATCTGGCAAGACAAACAGCCCCAAAACATGGAGCCTCAGCACTGGCAGCGAGAGAACACTCACTAAAGCATCAGTAAGTTTTCCCAGTTTTGCAAGTCATTCTTTCCTGCTCTGTAGTTTCTGGGCTTTCTTGGCTTTCTGCTCATATCTTGAAACCGTGGATACACCATCCGCAAACTTGGTCTTGAAGAGGACATTTGCGTTGTTAAACATTCCATCTTTCAAGGACACCACAATAAACTAAAACAAACCAGAAAGCTTGAAGTAAGTGCTGCCATCCAAATAAATTTGTGCAACATTAGAAGAGGCTTCTAAAAAGAGGATTCCTTTTACTTTATTTGGCTAATATCCTGGTAGTAATGCTTACAAAAATACTTTAAACATAACTGAAGCCCAAAAGAATGTGCTAGGCTGGTTTAACATACACCCACAGGCCAGACATTTCCTGCAGCTAGATGTCCGTAATCCCAGCGCTGGCCATGGTACAATTCTGTACCATTCACGTGTACATGTACACGTACATTCACAGTGTATCCATCACTGGAAAAAAACGTTGCCACAGATTTTGTAAGAATACAATAATCTAAAGATACTGCTCAAATTATTTTACAATACTGGTAACAAATGTTCGCCTCCCCTCTCTCATAACTTGGAAAGGTCACATCCAAACACCAAAAAGAGACAGGTACTGCCTTTCACTGAAAGTTTTTTCAGTTTTACAGATACCTTTAATGCATATGCCACAGTGATACAGAGATTCTTTCCACTAGTACATCAACAGGGTCAAAAATAAAACAGAAAATATTTTTTAAGCTGAGGTTAAAGAGCTCTATAAAAAAAAAAAAATCAGGATGTGGGTCATGCCTGAAATTTATGTTACAGATATTCTTCCCTATTACTACCTGGTTTTTAGGCAGTGCAGCAACAGCTTACATTAAAATGTAATGCTCAGAAGTTTCACAATTGCCATGTCATCAGTGTAACTTCTAGCTGGAACAACTTAGAAATACAACAAACATCTCTGGAATAAAACATTTGAACAGCTGAGACCCCCCCTAGTATCAGAGTGCCTCAACAGATGATCACAATAGTTTCAAGATTATACCTGAGAGTGTCTGAAATGAGCTTGAAGCATCCGTCCAATATTCTCGGTATGAGAGAGATCAAGGGCTGCATCCACTTCATCCAGGATGTAAATTGGAGCAGGTTTGAAGAGAAGGATGGATAAGATCAAGGACAAGGCAACCAATGATCTAGTACAGAGAAGAAGAAAGTTATGTTTTATCCTCCTGTTTGAGAGATTTTGGCTTAATAAAACAGTTGTTTCATAGTTACAAAATGCTCTCTCAAAAGCAGATTCATGCTATGAGTTCTGAAGAGACAGAACTACAGCTTCTGCCACAACTTCTGATTTCAAAATGTGAAGTCTTCTGCCAGAAATGACAGATGCTACTTGCTCTTTTATCAGAAGATGAGATTAGTTGAGTGATGATATTTAAAGTCATACTGTTGCTTTACCTATTTTCAATTCTGAGTTTTGCAGTGCTGTTTTTCAACAAACACTTCTTGAAGTATTCTGTGCTTCAGAAAATTCTGTATCTGTATCTCACCTCTTCCTAAATTCTGTTTCTACTTTTCAATTTGACGGATTTTTCCTTACAAGTTGCAAAGAAGCACATACCCTACAGAGTAGCTGTAATCACTGGAAAAGAAAACTGTCACCATGGCATTACTTTGGCACTGAGGCAGAACTTGTCTATGGAGATTTCTGAGATTACAACTCAAAGGGTGTAGCATTTAATTCAGCAGAACCTCAGTACTACCTAGAGTTAAATGCAGTTTTCTCACCACTGAATTCTTTTACTCTATGGAGTAAAATTTCGTCTGTTAGAACAATGCATTGCTTAGCATCCGGTAAGTCAGATTCCTCTTTGAGCTGAACTGAATTAATAATGCCTTCAACATTAAGTACTCAGGTTGGAAGGAGACAGAGTCCCTGTCTTGACCAGGGAAAAGATTCATTTTTTGCTTTTCTGAACTATAAAGAGCTAGATGTGTCAATCATATACACAACATCAGCAGAAAACAAAAAAAATACAAAGTTCACCAACCTTTGTCCTCCACTAAGTTCTCTTAAGTTTTCTTTCCAGGTGTTTCCTAAGGCAACCCTGAACTCCAGACCATCCAAGATATTCTCAGTATTAGAGGCTACCAGCATAGCTCTGGCTCCTGGCAGAAGTGTTGAGAAAATTGAACCAAAGTCTTCATTCACCTAAAGTCAGAGCATATGTATGTACATTATTTGGATCCAGAGCACAAATGGTTTAATATTAGTGGTGAGCTGTACTATGCTCTAGATGTCTTGTTCAATTTAACCCAATGACTTCTTATACCTTGAATATTAGCACATGCAGGATAGTGAGAAAATATTAGCACACAGAATCTTTTATTTTCTCTGTACTGAAAAAAGAAGGGATAAAAATATATTGAGGGATACACACACACACACACACACACACACACGTATAAAATACGTATTACACACATACATACACATATATACATGTATATATATGAATGACATCTTATACTAAGCATTTTAGGAGGATCAAATGAAAAAAATAAAGGAAGGCTCTTCTTAATGCTATCAGTCAGGGAAATGGTTATGCCCTACCTTATTAAGTGGTAAATTGTGATTTCTCCCAATTATAGGACTATTAAAAGTACAAGCACCTTGTAACAGGCACATAGTGGCATCCTCCCCACCCCTTTTCTTCCCAGGATTACCTAAGCAATGTCGAGGTATTGGATGGGATGCAACCTTGTAAACATAGATTAAAATTTCCGATGTCAAGGAATGCATCCGAGAATGCACTTACTCCATCATCCATGATGCTTTTAAATGTAATTGACTAATTTTTGCCAAACAAGATTTTGCAATGAAAAGGTACCGTTTTGTCAGTGATATCTTCAGTATGGGCAGTAATAATTAAAACCAATACTTAATTTCTGAGCAATTTATTCTCCAATATAATCAGTCTTCTCAAAGGCCAAAAAGTAAAACTTCTCCTGGTACAGTAGTAAAGAAGGTGTCAAGAGCTTTCCATGTAGAAAGGAAAAACTTTATACTTTTGTTATAGTTTGTGATAGCAGAGAACTAGTGAGAAGGCAGAGTGCTTAGGTAACAGAAACCTAAATCAGCTGTTGCTCCATACCAATATTGCCTATTCTAATCAGTGGCAAGAACAGTAGCCCAGGCCCCCGGCCCCATGTTGTATGGGGCTACACAGAACCAGAAGATTTTAAGTCTGGTCAAATACTGGTTTAAGCACATGAAAAGAAAAATAGACTGTATCATTTTTTCGTCCATTTGTTCCTTGTGACAGACAATGATTTTTACTAAGCCAGTAGCTGAACCGTCCTTAAATTTTTGTGGGCGCTAAAAGGGAATGGTAGTTTTGCAGGTTTTAACTGTATCTTTACAATTCTCAGAGAAGTCACATCTTATTCTCAAAAGTGAGATGTAACAGGAGAAATGAAGTGGTTGTGTTGTAATTTAAATACTAAGCAAGGGAGATTAGTTCTGGAAACAGAATTTTTTTTTTCAATATGGACATATACAAAACAGTAACCTAAGATAAATCTGATCCTCTGCTAAAATGTGAAGATTAGATTTCAAGTATCCTACCTTTTTCCAAGCAATATTTAAGGCTTCTATTTTCTTCTGATCAAGCTCATGAATAGTTTCAATAATTATTGCCTTGTCTTTCTCAACAATTCTTTTCTTTTCCATTAAGTCATTGTACTGGTGCAATAAGAAGAAAAGATTTATTTCAATGAACTCTGTGCTCAAATATATTTTGTTCTGATGTCACAATTTCACTATCATTTTTGTAACCATGACATAGCCATTAACCACAAGATCGAAATCCAAAGCATTAATCTAGCTGTATGCAATATTTAAGTTTTAGCATACAACCCCAGAGCACCTTCAAGCTATCATGCTTGAAGATGAACAGTTTTTTGATCCACAGCCTTTGATAATGTAATTCTCAGATACTGTAACAGATATCGCAAAGCTTGCCTAATGCTGCTGCTGCTGAATTAGGATGGACTGGGGTGAGGAAGAATCAAATTATTCTTTTTACCATCCAAAGTCAAGATTATGCATACTCAAGAAAACTAGTGCACAAGCAAATAGTTAAAAAATGCAAGATTAATATGAAAGGTTTCCTGCTGTTTCATGAAATATGTTTCATGTTTTTTGGTGTATTCAGAAATAGAGCACGTGAAAATATAAACCCTCGTTATACATAGCTCCATATACCAAACCTGCCCAATCTTGAAAGGGTAAAGCACAGAATGTTTACCTTCTCCTCTGTCACAGAAAACATATGCATAGCTTTCGGGTTCACAGCTTTTCTCAGTTTCCATTTCTGCTCCTTCAATTTCTGCAGCTTCTCATGTGTGACTTCAGCACTGTTATCTTTGAAGTCATACGCTGTGTTTGGCTGACCAAAATATAGTTTCTCTGAAGCTATCCACTTATGATCTTTCAGCATTTTGTTCACCTGTAAACAAGAAGATATGTGGAGGCTTTTTTTTTTTCCTTCTCAAATGTGAATAAAAATAGTTAAAAAGAAAAAAACTAACCAACAATATCTTGAAATTACACTAATTCTCGTATTTCAAAGTATCACAGGTGTGCACCTTTACAGTGCTTCATATGATTTCCAAAACTGTAGGTGAAATGAAGATTTTAAGGGAGCTTTCACATATACCCATCACGTTTATTTGGAACATGTTTTTCTATATCTAGACTAAGCCATTGTCAGTAAACCTCATGATATGCTTCTTTAATTAGTTACCTAATTTGTCCCTACAGTCAGAACATTCTTCTCATGGATCACTTTCTCACTGTATGGACTCTACTAGTCCATATTGATAAGCTCTGTTACAATTTACAATTTCCACCCCCTCCTCCTGGGATAAAACTTTTCACATTAAGAGCTGCAAATATGATGGTGCTTATTAAAAAAAGACAACCAACAACGACCAAAAAAAGCACCAAAAAAACCCCCACAAAAAACGGCTATTTACTCTGCATGTCACAAGAGAAATAACCACTCAGTCACAAGATGCAAGGAAAAGCACAGTTCTGAAATACCTTGTCAGCAGCATCAGCAGCCTCTTGTTCATGTATGCTCACGTTGTGTTCTAATTCTTTAACCTGAAGCTGCATTTCATTATTTTGTTCTCTGTATTTTTTCATCTCTGCAGATTTGGCTTCAATTTCTTTATTCTGTAACATAATTGTTCCCTTTTGCTTGGCCACCATGCTCTGTGATTGCTCTACAGATTTCTGAAAAGCAAATCAATCAGCCATTTATTAGCTTCTTTTAAAGGCTGGTGTTAGTTATTAAGAGAGACAGACACAGCAAGGAAGGAGGAAAAAATTCACATATGGTAACAAAGCCAAATAACTACCTAGGCTAAACATAACTGTGTGCTGACAAGAAAATCCAAACAACAAAATACACATCATCATTTGAGATTTAGATGATCACATCTACAGTAACAAACACAGATAATGAAACACACTATTTGCTTTTACCTTTGTCTTAGACACCTCAGCTTCCATAGCATTAACTTGATCCTGGTAGGATTTGATTGCTTTAACTGCAGCCTCTATCCGCTGTTCATAAGAGTCAAGTTCTTGTTTTAGCTCTTTAACTTCCAGAACTAAAGTTTCCATTTCCTAGAGAGATGTTTTCAAATTTACTGTTATACTTCAATAGAAAGAAGTTAAGATTCAGTTAGACATAGTAAATGCTGTATAAGTTTAACAGTACCCATTCTTCAGCAAGGGGGCAATCTCACAAAAAAAAAAAAAAAAAGTATCAGCAATTTCTTCAGCAGTGACTACAGAGTAATATATTAAGTTATAAAACTGACAGTATGAAGACTTCAGGAGAATCAAAGCTTCTGATTACTGCAACCACTTTTGACACTGAAAAAATTAACAATGAAGTTTAAGTTTTACCTGCTGCTTTTTTTTCATTTCTTCGCTTGAATCATATGCCTTTTTCTTGGCATGATCTAGTTTCTGCTGGGCATTGTTTAGTCCTTTTTGATGTTCTGCTCCTTCATTTTTCATTTTATTCTGTAATAACTTGTATTTGTCTTCTGCTTTCTTTTTTGTCTCTTCATTTTTCTTTAATGTCTCTTCACACTCCGCTGAATCAAGAAGTACAGTACTAAGACGGGGCCTTGTTCTTATCTTTACATTTACATCCTGAACTCTAAATGAAATACATGTATCTGCCTCTAACATTAAAAAGTCGTCATACGTTTGCTACCTACTGTAGTCAGTTACTTCAATGATTACTCTAGGACAGTATGCTGTTGTTAACAGTTCTTGGCAGGGCACCAAATAGAAAACCAGTCATTAAAACTAAATAAAATAAGCTTTCTTTTTTTTTTTTCCACAGAGGCAAATACATATCAAATCATAGGATCAAGAAGTAATTCATCAGATGGCTACCTAGTAATATATTACCTCATCCTTTGAATACCAGGTCTACATAAGTATCACTTCTGTCCACCTTTTTATTTTAGATGTTTTACTTATTGCTGCATCTGCTTCCTTTTACATTTTTCCTTAGCTATATGAACAGTACTTCTTTCCAATGCCTTCTTGTTACACCAACTATTTGTATTGCTAATGTTAAACTTCTAAAGAAACAGATGGCTTGGAAAAAAACAAAGGTTACTCAAATAGGAGATTAAATCCATTTTAAAACTTCCTTGCAAAGTCATTTTTCCTATACTTCCTTAAAGTATATAAACCACTTAATAATAATATAACCTTTACTACAGTAGAATGACCAAACCCACTATGAATCACCTCTACAGAAGCCTACTGTGATTCTGTACTTGTTACATATTCCAAAATACAAAGCTGGTATTTTCCAAGCTAAAAAATACTTTCTTCTTAAGCAAAGATTCTGCTTCTCAAACAGCCAAGCATCCATCTCATTCTCAGCAATTAGTTTTCAGTCAAAAGATTAAGAATATATGTGTTACCAATGGTTTTCTTCAGGGCAAGCAGCTCTTCTTCGTGTTTGTGATAAGCACTTCCTTGAAGTTTCAACTGCAACAGCCCTGCTTCCTCAGACTTTGCATCCAACTGCTGCTTCAGTTGCTGGTACCTTTGAAGACAGTAATGATACACACTGCTATAATGAGGGGCACCCAGCACTTCAGTTTCAAATAAGTAGGTATAGAAATAAGTAGATAAATACTTATATTCCCATTCTAGCGTGAGATACAATGATGACTCTACAGTCATTAAAAGTCATAAATAAGCATAAGTGTGCAAAAGTCTGATATAATTTTAATAGCAATTGTGAAGTTTGTAGGTATGTCATTACACATATTATGTTATGTAGCCCCGATATTAAAAACTAACAAATGCAACACAAGGAATTTGGCAACAATTCAGAGCTCGTGTTTTTCCAACCAGCAGCATGACAGATGCTAGGCTAAAGCATTGAAGAAAAAAATATCTAAAAGCAAAACTATGACCGTGCTTTTGGTCATACTTCTGGAACTCTATTACAACTCAAAATAATTTGAAAAATAAATCCACCTGGTAGATAGCATATTACACTGCCCTTTCTCCTCATGGGATTTTTACAAAACTGACTACATGCATTTTTATATTCCATCTTTTATCTCCATTAATAGAGTAGCTGAAAATGAAATATACTTAAAATTATTTAACTTAAATCCTTACTACAGTATCACACAGATATTTAGTTTCTCAGAAGAAAAATACGAGCTATCACAAATTGAAATTCTGTATGGGTGTTACAATACACAACTGGAACAGATCTATTCTTCAGTAGAGTCCATAAAACCTTGGAAAACTTCAAGTGATTTCAAGTACCCATCATTGTATGCCATTTTTTTCATGTATCACCAAAAATAAAGTTTTCTTACGTGTGTTATCTAAAAGCTAAATTTGCTTGCTTATTTCTGTACTTAAAAATAAAAATGGAGGGAGGGAGAGAGAGGAAGGGAATAATTTTCTGCATATAACAATTCCAATTAGCCCCATGCCCTTCAAAAATATGTCTTTATGTTACATTTATTCAGTCACATAAGATAAGTGGCAGACATTTTATAGGGCAAACCATACTTTTCAGCAACTTTCTCCAAGTTTGCCAGCTTATTCTCTACAGTCTCAAGTTCAGATTCCTTTGTCTTCAGTTCTGCTCCAACATCTTTCATTTCTTGAAGTTTTGACAATATTGGTGCAGCCTGTGAACACGCCCCTGTTCATTTAAAAAAAACCAAACGAAAGTTAGGCTAATTGGAATTAGACTAGTGGATTCACCAGTGGAAAATTCTAAATATTAATAAGGATGCAGGTTGATGATCTGTTTTATTTACAAAACAGAAAGGCAGCTAGGCTAAACTTACAGAATTCAGTTCTGCAGACTTTGAATGTACACATGCATTTCTTGTTATATCAACTAGCTTTTCATAATTTATAAAATTACCTCAAATTAATTATTAATTACTTCAAGTAGTGTTTGAATTCAAAGCACTCTCCTTCAAAAAGGATTATGTAGCTAAATAAGATTTAAGTACTTAAGATCTAAACTACTTTATGCAAATAGTTTGGCATTAGTTTTTCCACAGTCTTATTTCAGATCAATACTGACAAATCTTTGCTTAAACAGATCATACGATTCCCAGCATGAGTCTAAACAAAAAATTACTGTCCATTTTTATAAAAAACATGCAGAGCAGTAAACCATATTATTATATGAATAAAACCAGCAATTGCCTCCATGCAGAATGCCCTGCGGGTCAAATATATCTCCATCAAGTGTAACACTTCTCATCATTATTCTTCTGTGAAAGGTCACTTTCTTAGCATTATCCATGTCATTACAGACCAGTGTTGTTCCAAATACATATTCCATTGCTTTCCGCAGTTCAGATTCATATTCAACCAGAGAAAGGGCTAAATCCAAGTTACCATGACCAGCCTAGAAATCAAATGAAATGCAATTAGGATGCCTTAAGTTATAAGAATTTTCAAATTTTATTTGCCTTCTCTTGATAAAAACAATTTCTAAAAAATTATTGAATATTAATACTATTTCAGTCAAAAGTGGAATAATTAATATCCATTTAAACATCTCACAGCTGAAAGGATACAAAGGAAAAAAAGAAAATCAAGATACCCTCAAACACTATAGAAATTCTTATTAGTATAACCATTAAGAAGCCCATGTTCTTAGCAAAGAAACAAAATGAAAAAGATTCACAAGGAAAATAGTGTATTTATTTACATACCAATGTTTGGGCCAAATTGACAGTGTCTTGTCCAGCACACCTGGCTGAAACTTTGTTCAATGGAATGATGGTGTATCGACGCTTTAGTTCACCCTTTCCTAAAAGCTTTCTGCCAGTAACCTCAAACGAGAAGAGTTACAAAACATACCTAAATACACAATTGATTTTGTAAAGTAAGACAACTGGGCATTGCAAGAGAAATTTATAGTTGCCAGTAATTACACATGACTTTCTTGACCTAATTTAAATATGTACATGGGTGCAAACCACCTCTGAAGCATTCAATAACAATGCACATGCTTCCTAATGCTGAATCACACAACCTCATCTTAAGATTCAGAATTCTGTGTAAAAGTAATAGGCATACCTCTGTGTCCACAACAATGTTGTAGAGCTTGCCTCCAGCTGCTGCTTCTAGGGCTTTTGCTTTGGATAGATCTTTCACAGTGATAAGAGATGCAACAAGGCCTTTCACATGGTTTGGATCCCAACTTTTTTCTGGATGCCTTAAAATAAATTTAAATTATGATAATAACATCTGTTTCTCTCCCACACATCTTAAAAAATTTATATTTAAAAACTTATACTGCTTTTTATATTGGTATATTAAGTTCTAAATCTATCAGAAAAACAAACAAACAGAAAATGGTTAAATTAAATACTTCAGGGCAAGAGACTTCCCAATAAAGACTCAGTTACAGACATTAGAAGAATGTCCTTCCTTATGGTACAATATGTTCGCACAATTTTCAACTGATTTTTACTATAGGTCCTATTGTCACTATAGGAATATGTTCAGACTGATTACATAAGCAAATACTTCTGGGAATACATATATTTGATTGGTGGAGACAGAATGTTGACCTCCACAGCGCAAGTTTACTCACAGTCCTCAGGCAGGGCTCTGAAAAGTAGTAATTTTTTTTTGCAGTTTAGACATTTGGATTCTAAGGCTTTAGCTAGAAGTTGAGTTATGGCTTGCAAACACTGTTATACAAAACTTTGAAATTCCAGTGATTTTGTTAAGGCTGCCATTTAAGAATGACTGCACCACTTTCCCTGCTGTCCATTAATTCAGTTAACATTTCCTGACTTCTTCCCCACCTTCACTTGCATCTCAGGTAAAACAGTCATTCTTGACTGGCAGTAAAAGGAAAGCAACAGCTAAGCAACCAACAGAATTATCCTCTAAGTCCCATAAACTACACATAAAATACCCCAAAAGGCACTCTCAAATGTCTTTTAGGATCGCACTAAGATCTTACTTGTATTCAAACTGCAGTTGAGGAAACCTTGCCATTAAGCCTTCATACAATTGTCTCAGTTGTCTGATGTCAGAAGTCAATGTCTTCTTTTTCGCTAGAAGTGTTTCTTTGTCTTTTTAAGAGTTGAACAGAAACAGTAGATAAACATCCAGAGCACAGAAATCTATTCGCTTTAAGATTGATACACTACATTGTTCTTTATATATATATATATATATGAATGAAAAAATACTTAATTGAAAGACTTTCTAAATTTTTTGTAAATTGCCAGTTTAGACAAATTAACACCATCACAATACCAAACATGAAAAGAAAGTTTAAAGTACAATGTGCTTCTCTGAATGTCATTCTGAAATATCAACTTACAGTTATGAGTAGCTTCTGCAACAGATGTTACCTGGAATGAGCAATGAATTTAAGTGTTTTAGGTAGGGAAAACCAGGAAGGAACTGGGAGGTTGACCACTTTTTCCATCAAAATTTTAGGTGGAATTTGAATTTTCCATCACACTTCAAAAGGTTTGGCCTAAAGTTTATAAAATCAAATTATTTAAAACTATTTTGTGGTAGACAAGACCTTGCAGAGCTTTGACCGGAGAATTTTCTTTGTGCGTGATGAAAAAGCCTCCAAAAGCCAGTAGGGCAGACTAGAAGAGGACATAGCCAGGGCAGATGACCCAAGTGACACTCTAAACCACATGAAGACACGCTCAGCGAAAAAAAAAATAAGAAAAAGGAGGAGGGGAAGGGGCATTCATTCTTAAAGTGTCTGTCTTTCAGACCAGCCACGACATGCACTGAGGCCCTACTCCCTAGGAAGTGTCTGGATATCACCTCCTGATGGGAAGTGAGGAGGAAAACTGTTTTCCTTTGCTTCTGTGTCCATTAAACTGGCTCCAAGATGGACCCACTGCTGGCCAAGGCCGAGTCAATCAAGTGATGGTGGTAGCGCCTCCGTAATAACATATTATAGAAGGGATAAAAACTGCTGTGGAAACAGCAGCCAGAGAGAGGAGTGAAAATATGTGAGAAAAACAACTCTGTAGACACCAAGGTCAGTGATGAAGGAGGCAGAGGAGGTGCTCCAGGCCATGGAGCAGAAATTCCCTTGTAGCTTCTAGTAAAGACCATGGCGAGGCAGACTGTCCACCCTGCAGTCCATGCAGGTTAACAGTGGAGATCTCCACCTGCAGCCCATGGAGGACTCCACACCAGCACAAGCAGATGTGCCCAAAGGAGGCTGTGACTCCATGGGAAGCCCATAGTGGAGCAAGCTCCTGGCAGGAACTATGGACCTGTGGAGAAAGGAGCTGACACTGGAGCAGGCTTGCTGGCAGCACTTGTGACCCTGTGGGGGACCCACACTGGAGCAGTCTGTTCCTGAAGGGCTGCACCCATGGAAGGGACTCATACTGGAGCAGTTTGTGAAGAACTGCAGCCCATTGAAAGGACTTGTTTTGGAGCAGATTGTGAAAGACCACCTAACATGGGAAAGATCCCACACGGGAGCTGGTGAAGAGTGTGAGAAGGGAGTAGCAGAGACAAAGTGTGATGAACTGACCCAACCTGCATTTCCCACCCCCCTATACCAATTGGTGCTGATGAAGTAGAGAAAATCAGGAATAAAGTGGAGCTCAAGAAGAAAGGAGCAGTGGGGGAAAAGGTGCTGTCAGGATTCTTCCTATTTCTCATCATTCTACTCTGATTTGCTTGGTAATATATTAAATTAATTTCCCCAAGTCAGGTCCTTTTTGCCTATGACAGTAATTGCTGAGTGATCTCCCTCTCCTTCTCTCTACTCACAAGCCTTTTGCTGTATTCTTTCTTTTCTCTCCCCTGTCCAGCTGAGGAGGGGAGTGACATAGTGGCTTGGTGGGCACTTCGCAGCCAGTGAAGGTCAATGCACCCCACTTCTACATTCCTTTTCAGATTCTCCCAAAATTATGCTCCAGAAATCTGTACAGACCTCCATAGTTGAGCTTCTTTATTTGGTTCTCTATTTGTTCTTTCGCTTTTTGGACAGCTTTAAGTGCTTCTTGGTCTTTCTTGTACTCTCCATCCGTCTTTTTAACTTCAGCTTGTTTTTTCTTTAATTCTTGCTGTGTATAACACAGCTTCAGTTGAGTCTGTAATGAGTAAGAAAATATGGAAGCAGAAGATCTTCAAAGAGAATCTTGCAGGCGCAGGTTTAGAACACCTGCACTAACAAGGTGCTCATACAAACTGTAAAAGTTTCTACTGGTTGCAGAAATCCCAGAAAGCAGCCTTGGCTTTTGAAAGTAAGGGCACAGATGATTTACAGTAACTCATATTAGCATATGAATAGTGTCTGAGAAGAAACAAGGTGGAACAAAGCTGTCCTTGCTATTTTCCCCAAAAGAAATTTTGATTAAATGAGACAATCAGGGTACACTTTAAAATTTGAAAATTTAAATTCTACCATGAGAACTACCCCAGCAAAGACAAAAGAGGTGGCACCTATCACAGTCATGTGACTAGCACACAATTTAACTGAGGAAAAAATAGTTTCTTCTGAACTCTCCTGCTCACAGTCCCAGGCATATTTATTTTGATTCAGTTAAGGTTTACTGTAGAAATCTCTATGGTATGAATATATATCATGGACAGCAGCCCTAATTTCTTCTTATTCAGTACTGTCAATCATTAGAGTACTGTGAGTCCTACTTTATGTATCAAATGCCAGTTTCTGTAATTCCTCACAGCAATATTATAGCTTTTCATTATTTGTTTATATCTGTGCAAGGTTATTTTAATTTTTTAATTATCTATTTTATCAAAAAGTCACCTTAATGCATATGCCAACTTGTAAAATAACTTCCATCAATATTCTGCATATTTTTTCACTTACCTTTCAAGGGTGTGTCATTTAGTTTGTTTTCAAACAATTTTCAAAAGAAGCAGGAACACTGGTCTACAACAGGCAGAGCTTTTATATTTACCTGTTCAACCTCTGTAACTGCAGCACTGAAATCATTTTTGCAGGCTGTCATCTGCCCAGAAATAGTAGATTCTTTCCCACTGTTATTTTTGGACAAGCCAGCAGATACAGCATTAAAATGCTGTTGTGCTTCATCTAAAGCACATGCATCTTTTTCACTTGCTTCCTGTAAAGCATTTAGTTCTTTCTCCATCTTCTTTTGCTCTTTCTCCTTCAACACTAATGTTTTAGAATTCTTCAGCAAAACAAAGAACAAAAACAAAAAAAGGAAGATAACATGTGAGTCCCATTAAATTAAAATTCATGTCGTTTGGAGGAGGAGCTATGAATAGTTTCATCAACTACATTTCTACAGCTCTTTATCAGATTTTGTGATCTTACAATTCGTCTTTGCACATTTTCAAGTGTGTATTTGCCCCATGAGTGCACTGAAGTTCTATGGAAAGATGAAATACACAAAAAGATGACAATTGCTCAAGAACTAGGAGAAATAGCTTTCTTCCCAGTATCTAAAAAGTAAAATATTCTTCAGTGCTCCTCTTGCATAAAAAAAACATTAACTGTCAGAAATACACAATTTCACCTTTAATTTTAAGAATACCGCATGTCCAGGGAGAATTAGACTTTTGAAGCAACAGAGATCTCTCCCAAGCTTAATAGAAGGTTGGCAATCATAAAAAGTAGCACTTGCTTTGTATATGCACATGTTTTTTTCTAATGGGAATGTACTACCTATGTTGCACAAATCAAACTGTAATTTACACTTCACATTTGTTTCTGCTTTCCTCATCTAATTCCTGCCAATCATAAGATTTTTCTTGTCATAATAGGTAAGAAAAACAGCTGTCCCCTCAATCAGAATTAATTTAGCATTCAAAGAAAACTATAAACAAAGGTCTTACCTCCTGCATACTTTTCATAAGTTCTTTGTGCTTACTCTGTTCAGCTTCTAAGTTTTGCTTCTTGAGATCAAGGGCACTTTGTGCTTTTGCATTGGCTTTCTGAACTTCTGTAAGTTTATCTTCCAGTGAACGGAGAGTACCATCAAATTTCTACAATCAGAAATAAAATAAATTTAATTTAGCCTAAAAACTGATACAGTATTTGTAATATTTCATCTTCTGTTCACAGCTATACATAGAAGAAATCAATATCTGATTAAGTAAGCAGTTAAGATTTGAATGCAAACAGGTCAGAACATCTCTTCTCTGTGAAATCCAAACTAACTTGAAGCCACTACTGAAGATCCACACCATCCTACATCATGGCACACTGTCTCTGTACAAAAACTGCATGTAGGCATTCAAAGACCCTATGGAGCACCCTGTATCTAACCAAACTTACTGCCCCTAAAACTGAGGTCAGTACTGACTTTCTTTAAACAAGGGCTTCCTACTTGAAGCATATTTCTTTCGAGACATCAACAAAAAGGGAGAAAAAAAGTCTCTGGCAAAACTTACCACTGAATGCACAGAGTGGAAACACAAGGGCAAACAGCTTCTATTCTTCAGTTATTACTCATTTACAGTAATTGGAAGTAAAGCATTTCAGACAAATGAAAACTTTAAATGCATGCCTTTCAGACAATGGCTAAGAATGACAATGAGCAGTGTATAATATACACAACCCACCAGAAGAAGATAAAAATTCAAAGGTATGTTACATAAGCCAATTATTTTTATAGGTAACTCCTTGTATGCAGATACTCAGATGACTCTGTTCTCACTTACTTCATCCTTTTCCTTTTCCATTTTTTCTATTTCTTCTTGAAGTTGTTTCCCCTTCTTTTCACCTTCAGCCATCGATTCCTGAAGTTTCTTTATATTATCCTGCATTTGCTTTAACACTTCAGCTGAGGATAGCTTTAACTTTTCAGCCACAAAAAACTCATAAGCTATACAGAGGCGGCTTAAATGTTCTATTGCTCGTAATACTTTTTGGTATTCTAGATAGCATGATCGTTCCTGAAAAGACATTAAAAAAACCCAAAAACCACTCTTAAATTTGATGGAAAAATAATATTAAGTAGTACTGTTATAGAAATCTTATAAGCACTTCAACTAACATTACTATTTATAGATAAAACAAAGGATTCTCCATGTCAAGTAATATATTTGGTATTGTACATTGCAGGTCTGCTCAGGAAAGTCTTAAATAAAACAATACTTGAATAATTGATTGCACAGCAAAAATATCACTTGACACAAGCTTTTTAAGCACTAAGATGTTTTTATCTTTTATTTTAATCTACTGCTCTTGTTTTCTTCCTTCTCCCTAGATTCCCCTCCAGGACTTCCTGGAAGTCCTGAATGTCACATTTTCTGTATTTGGTCAGAAGAGAAAATTTATCTCTCTCAAAAGATTCTACAAAGCTTGAAAACATGCTGTTGTTTAGGCTATCACATACTAGTTCAGGGTAGCTGAAAGTATTTTTTTACTTTAAGGGTCTGACCACTCAATTTTTCCATACCTCTCTCAGTTTCAGTAAAGTTGGACTGATCTCCTCATCCAAGACCTGAAACGCAAAACAGAACATTTATATTCAGATTTTAAAAACTCTTATATGTCGACGCATGAATACCTAGTTCCAGGTGCAGAAATTAAATATTCTACAAGTTTAAAACCACACTACACTAGTTATTCATTTATCTTTAACAAATATAAAAGAAAGTGTAGTTTCCAACATGTAGTACCATTTGAATGTGTTTCAGTTTGGCTTCTTTCTTCTGTATGATTTTTTGGGCAGCTACTTTCTTGCATTCGTACATGCTAGTACCAGCCGCTTCTTCAATCATAGATAAAATCTAAAATTAAGCAATGCAACAAAAATTTGGCATTTCTCCTTAAGCTAGACAGGTTAAAATTGAAACTGAAGTGAACATCTCATCTCTCTCTGATACTTTTCTTTTGTTCCCCCCCCCCCCACCTCCAATATGGATTTCCTTGTCATTCAAAACAAATCACTAAAAATTCAGGAAAAAACCCCAACTTTCTTGGATCATACCTGTGTCACAACAATCCCATGCAATGATGCAGACTTGGGGATGTTTGGCTGGAAGGCTGCCCAGCAGAGAGGAATCTGTGGGTACTGGTCAACAGCCGACTTAATGAGCCAGCAGTGCTCAGGTGGCCAAGAAAGCCAACAGCATCCTGGCTTGTATCAGAGATAGCATGGCCAGCAGGACCAGGGAAGTGATCTTTCCCCTGTACTCAGCACTGGTGAGGCTGCACCTCGAGTCCTGTGTTCAGTTTTGGACCCCTACAAGGACATGGAAGCACTGGAGCATGTCCAGAGAAGGGCACTGAAGCTGGTGAAGGGTCTGGAGCACAAATTCTTCTGAGGACCAGCTGAGGGAGCTGGGGTTGTTTAGCCTGGAGGAGGCTGAGGGGAGACCTTATCACCCTCTATTACTACTTGAAAGGAGATTGCAGTGAGGTAGGAGTTGGTCTCTTCTCCCAGGTAAGAAGTGATGGGATGAGAGGAAATGGCCTCAAGCCACACCAGGGGAGGGTTAGATTGGACATTAGGAAAAATTCCATCACTGAAAGGGTTATCAGGCATTGGAAAGGGCTGTTCAGAGAAGTGGTGGAGTCACCATCCCTGGAGGTATTTAAAAGACAGGCAGATGAGGTGCTTAGAGAGCTTGGTGTTTAGAGTTTAGTAGCATACAGGTTATCGTTGGACTTGATGATCTTAGAGGCCTTTTCCAATGAAATGATGCTATAATTCTTACCTCTGGTGGCTTCATATTTAGAACTTTGGTAATTCGTCCCTGGTGACAGAAAGATAAAAACTAGATTGGTAGTTGTGTGTCATGCAATAGCAAACAACCCAAAACCTCAAACCCAGAAAACCACACTCAACTTTATCCAGCATATTATAAAGCTCAATTCTTATTTTTTTAATACAAGAATAATCAAGTTTACTAAGTTGTTTTGTGCTCGAAAAGATCAAACAAGTCATTTCAAGCAGCAGGCTTGAAATGGCCCTTATATCTTAGGCTCATCCTCCACATTCCTGAGTACCTCCCAGAAGAGTAATGTGTATTATTTTGTTCTAGAGTCTTACTGAGTTGTTGATGTTGATTAAGCTCTTAATCATAGAAAGGCTTTTTTGAGATTTAGCTCATATGGAACTAGGGTGAAGCAGAACAGGTGCAAAATTGCCCTGTTTCCCCTTGCAAATTGGGATAGTTCCATTTGAAACAGTAAATACTGCTGTCTTTTATTATTCCTTGCAAATATTTCAGAGATTTATCTAGTCCTTGTATTTATAATGGTCTTTTAAATTAGTCAGATCTTCCTTTGTTAATTGTGACTTAAGAAATCAGGTATATCAACTTTGTTCAAAATACTGTCTAACATGGAACACACATAACAGGAAATAGAATCTCTGCCTTTTTAGCCTAACAATAAAAGCAAAACTTAAAGGGACAAAAACTAAGCTGTATTGGAAATCTTAACTACTTAACAGACATTTGGTTTTTACTTGATAAGAAGTTGGTTTTCTTTGATTAGGAAATTAAGTGTTCTTCCGTTACCTATCATGCCTCAAATTCAGTGCAACTTCAATTCTTTTAGGATTTTATAAAGATGTGCACAATACCTGCATAATAAGGAAATGGGGGTTATTGACATTTAGTCCAACAGAACAGAAGAGATCCTGCACACGACTGGTTTGAGCATTCACACCATTTATAAGATACTTATTTCTACCTCCAAGGACAACCTGGAGGAGGAAAAGAAATGGAAGAAGCTTGAAGCCATTTAAAAATGACTTAACATTATGAGAATATAAACTGTAACACAGAATAAAAAAATCTGAGCAAATCCCCTATATTATATCTTCGCATACATATATATGCATGCTATACAGAATATCAAAATAGGTCTTGCTGGACTGAAGAGACATTTAAAATATCAATCTAAAACATAAGAAAGATCAGTCATTGAGAGCAATATTGATAGGAAAATTTCCAAACTCCTTAAGATGTCTCCTCAGTTTTTAAAAAAAGAAAGTGACATCTTAATCAGATAGATGAAGGTTTCTTTTGTTTCTGGAGACGAAACGTAACACACAGTTCATGTATTAAGTGGAAAATATGAAAGTAGAAGAAAAAGCCACAAAATACAAAATTATAACTTACTTTAGGAACACTATTTCATTATTATTATGTTTCTGTGCAAGTCCATAGAAAACGTTATTGATATAATACATTTAACAATATTAATTTCCCAAGTAATTCTATTTTTTCTTCTAATACACTGGATCTACTACAGTTTGTGTTACTAACTTCACTGCAGAAGCATTGTGTCAACTGCAAAAACTCAAGAGACTTCAAAAATTACCTTTTCTTTTTTCTTGAAAAGTGATTCTGTTGAGCGCAGTAAAAATGCATACAGGTAATATATGTATAAAGCAATACAGACATTAAAGACTCACCTGCCTAGTGACAGTGATCTCATCACCATGTTCAAATCCAATTGGACTTTGTTTCTTGTCAGAATTATCAAAGATAACAGTCACAGTTGCTTTAGTAGATCCAGCTTGCCCACCTTTGTAAACTAGTTCTTGTACGTTGCGAGCTCTCACCTAAATCCATGGAACAGATAAATACATTTTTTAAAAGAAATTAATTACGCAGCTTCAGTGTGCTACTCTATGTTTTGAAGAAATGAATGAAAATAAAAATGCAGCTCTAGCTGTAGATTTAAGAGTTCATGTCAGAGACTGACATATAGGAGCTGCAAGGTGCTGGTGTTGTAAAACCACAGGCAGAGTGTGCCAGTTTCATTTTTGTGAGCCAAGCTAATTGTTTCTGCACAAGATTTCTGATAAAAACTGAACAGATTTTTTTTAAAAAGCTAGATGACCAGTTCAGTAACTAGTACGTTTCCTTAAAGAGTATTTATTATTCATAATGCAGTTCACAAGGAAATGAAACAGAAAGTGTTCCTTGAAGGTCTGCTGGATTTGAGGGACATGATAAAAAAAAAAATCTCCTGAAGACAAAGATTCAAATCGATGTCAAAGCACACAATTTTTTTATAAGAGTCAAGCTGATATAATCTTTTAAATAGCAGGCACTGCATGAAAACTAGTCTTATTTTTCTCTGATGAACCAGTTTGGGAAGTTTTAAGACCCAATCCAGAAGTGAAGACATTTATGACAAATAAACAAGTTAGTGCCTTTAGCTGCAAAAGATACTTGGCTTGAGGCTGCTACCTATTAAGTGGGTATTTTTAGTCTGATGTTCTAAGCTGCATACTTTGAGCTACTGTATATTGATGACACTGGAATTCAATCTTAATGTAAGAATGAACAAGAATGGCTGAGACTCAGTTTTGTGTAATGAAAAATCCAAAGAAACAAAACTATTTTTTGATAGAAAATCACCACATGAAGTCTTCCATCAGAAGTCACTCAAGAGTAATATGAAACGTTGCTGACAGAAGAAAGGCCTTTCTTCAATGCACCCTCTCTCTTTACCTGTGACAGATTGGCGATTCCCAACAGGAAACAGATTGAGTCCAAGATATTGGACTTGCCACTGCCATTCAAGCCAGTAATGGCATTGAATAATGGGTCAAAGTCAGGAATTTCCGTTCTCTGAGCATAGGATTTAAATCCTTCAAGAATAATTGTCTTGATGTACATATTTTCTGTGCTTCTAGGGGACCACGTAAAGTATTCCACTTAAGAGTACAAAGAAAAGTATCTGCATTATTTTAAAAAAAAAACAACAACAAAAACAAAACAGAAGCAGCAAATGAACGACACTGCATAACAAACAGCTAAAAGTGGGAGAAAAACTGAAAGAACACATGTCTTTTACAATAAAAGGATTACGCATTAATAAATAGAATATTCCAAGTATACCCCAGATTTAGGAAGCATCCCAACAATAATCTGTACTGCAACAATTTTTAGCGACAGAGCTTTACACAATGTTCATCACGACATCTGGATGAAGACTGTGGCATGGTTTCTCACAAAGCTGGCCGTTAGCCCACCAGTCAGTGAAGGAAATGGAAAGGCCCGGATCTTTCAGAACCCGGCAGAATGGGAGCCTCCCTTTT